CCCCCCCCCCCCCCCATGTGCTTTGTACTTCCGAGGGTTAATAGTATCAAGCTGCGAACCAGCTACATGTAAAGTACCATTTTCATTTTTCAGAATGACTCATTTATGAGAAACAAATGACCATCACCACTTACCCATACAAAGGCCCTCCAGACCACAAGCATATTCAGTCAATATCCCCTTACAACGCTGGCATGAGGATTTCTGACAGCTTTTCTTGAAATTAGACATTTCAGCTTCATGGGAATCATTTACAATATTTGCACTCTCCAGTAAGAGGTCCAAGAATGTTGTGTGCAATTGTAACACTCCTCTTGAACTCATTTGCAGCCTGCATTCTTGTAACTTCATCTAATTTCACATGTAGATCAGTATTTATCACGCAAAAAAAATGTATCACAGCTTTCTCCTCAACATCTGTAAGTTCCACGTCTGAGTGGTATTTAAGAACCTTTTTCTCCAGAACAGTCCTCCCTTTTTGGAATATTGTCAAGAAAGGAACACCTTTTGCTATCTGTTCAAATCATAAAGGAAATTTAAACAAAGTTTAAAATTAAATTCTGGTTTTTAAGAGGTGAATCTATCATGTATTTTATTTTATCATTTCACCACAAGTACATTGTTGGATAAATACAATCCTACTCAGTGAAGTAAAAATTGAGAAGAATGGAACAAGAGCAAACAATTTTGAAAGACATTTTTTAAGTGCTACTATAATCAAATTTGCAACTGTCCAACCTTAGCCATTTTGGCTGTGATGATGTCATATACTCAACCAAATAGATGACTGCAAGATATCTAGACCAATTTGTATCAGAAATGTTTGATTCTTGGCAATAAGACTCTATTAGATGGGTTCCTCAAGATAAGATTATCAATTGTGTTACAATGGCAACATGCTGGGTTTAAGACCAACTCAATGTTGATGGCCTTTCTGTTATTTTCTTTAGCATTTTTGGTGTTTGCTTGATCTAGCAAGCATATAAAAAAAATGTGTTGGGTAGACTATTTTGCCTGGTTTAATTTTTCCAGGCTAAAAAGCACTAAATTATTCAAAAGAGGTCTGAGGAGACAAAGCAAAACAGAACAAAATTATTAAAAAAGGTAAGAGGTATCATAATGAAAATAACATGGTGACACACAGTGAATCAAAACAAACAATAACAAAAATAATGCATTAAGAATTTGAAGCAAAAGGTCTCTGTTTTCCAATTTCTTTCCATTTGAAGATCAAAATGGTCGCAAGTTCCAACTGACAGAATTCCCGAGCTCCTTATGCATGGTGTGCAACGCTTCGTCGATGTAAACTTGAATACATGACTAGTGAGATTCTAATAAATATGTTGCCTCGCTTTCCGCTGTATAAGTATGCTGCAAAAGTTTTCAAAGCGCTGCGACACATGTAAGTGACGTGGAACAAAGTAGCTGAACACTCAGCGGATTAAATTAAGTGGAGGAATAAAACAGGGTTAGCTGATATTTCTGAGTTATGAGGCCAAAAAAGCTTATTGATGAAGAGCGCATCACCTGACACTTACCTTAATGTTCTCGATTTCCTCGTATTTTCTTCCGACTTCCAAAAAACTATTTAGTGTGCTGAAACTTTTTCGGCTTAGGAGTATTGGCTCTGTAAACTCCAAATACCCCAGAAATAGAATGTATTCCAGAAACCCCTTGATGGCAACCTCGATGTCTTCGTCCATGATGTGATGATTAATCTCGTACCCAGATCCCACTCTGTCTTACGCACGAAAAGGGGTACTTCGCCAGTTAACTACGCCACTTTTACTGACTAGATGCAAGACGTCTTACTGAGGGTGTCTTCAATATTTGTTGAGAAATGTGTCGTAAAAGTTACAGTGAATGAAATAAGCTGAAAACTTGTGTAATTTATCATTTGATAGACCCGCCAGAGTCTCCGGAATTTAGATTTAAGCTGGTTTAGCCTGACAGGAATCTCACATATATTGTTAGATTTCACATCATTTGTTATTGCTGTGTTATAATGAAGCGTGACCCGATAGCTAGCAAACCCCAAATAGAGCCCCCAAAGCCACTCACCTACCAGTGCTCCTCGATTCTATTCC